GATTGTTTAACCCTTTCTGGCCACGTGTCCTGTGCATGAGATTTGTTGCGACTATAGAACAGTGGTATCAACAATAGTTCACATGGTCATATTCTAATCCGATAACATCACAGCAGGACTGTCAGCCTACCTGCCGTGGCCAGCCACACCAGCCCAAAGACGCAGCCCAGCTCCTGAAAGGCATTTAGGTGCCTGACTCTGACTGACATAGGCACCTAGATATCTCTGAGTGTCTGAGCCCCAGTATGGTGCTTTAACCACTGGACCATCCTGCCTCTCTTTCAGTAGAATCCTAGGACTGGAAGGGACTTGGACTAAGTATTAGGGATGTTCATGGTTAACTGGTAAGCCCCACCCTTAATGGGTGAGAACAATTATCGTTAACTGGTGGGGGCTGGAGCTGGACTAAGTATTAGGGATGTTAATGGTTAACTGGTGGGGGCTGGAGCAGCCCGGTGGGGGCTGCCATGGGAGCAGGGCGCTCTAGCCTGTTGGGAGCAGCTCCTGTCCGCAGTAAGAGGGGCCGCTCCAGCCCAGCCTGGTTAGGGTTAACTTAACTTGAACTTGTTAAATAATTAACCGGGATTTTACATCCCTATTAAGTGTTATCTAGACCAGTGTTTCTCAACCAGTGGCACGAGTACCTGGAGGGGTACTTGAGAGAAGTCTGAGGGGTACGTCAGCACAACTGAAATTTGGAGAAAACTGAATTTTTGTGTTAAGTTTTACAGCGTTTTATTATTTTTGTACTTTTTACACTAAAAAATTTCATTGCCTGCCTGGCTACGTTGAAGTTGTTTAAACAAATGTGTTGCAATGGTAGAAAAAAAATTGTCTGAAAACTGTAGGTACTGGGGGTTTTTTGTTTGTTTGTTTTTAAATTTATTAAAGGGGTACTGTATAAAAAAATTGAGAGACACTGATCTAGCCCATCCCTGACAGGTGTTTATCTTACCTGCTCTTAAACATTTCCTATCTCCTTTCCTGGTTTATGGAGGTTTCCATTCTCCTCTCTGTTGTTATAATACTACCAGACAAGTCTGCTCAGCCTTCCACATTGTACTCAGGAGCATGTGGAGCCCCGTGCTGTGTACACACCTTATTCTACCCAGTAATCTTTGAACAACTCCTTCGCATTTTACCCACTGACCTTTACAACCGTGAATTCAAGCTGAACCTCCCGTCCAGCCCATGTGGGCTACATTCCAGCCCAGAGGCAAAAGATTACAATGCACATACCATCACGTTGGGTAACCATTGCCGGTTCGGAGTTGGGTGAAAAGTCGGGGTCTTTTGAGGGTTGTTCCTTGACGGCGGATGCTTGGTGCGGTTAACTATACCTCTGCTGTGTGTGCGTGACGCAGCAGCGCGTTTCCGTGTGAGGCATGTTTTCACAGAGGCCAGTGAAACCGGCAGCTCTGTAACACTCCGGGCTGTCCCGTCCACAGGATGGTTCAGGGCAGCTGCGCAAGGACCTGCAGGGTGGCCGGGGCTATGAGCTAACGGCTTGACGTGCGGTGGCAGCAGGGGATGGGTTCCCCTGGGTTCACTGCGGAAGAGGGACCCAGGAACCTGCTCCACCCCACTGCCCTGTCTCAGCCCACGGTGCTCCGCTTCACCACGGCAGCGGGAAGCAGAGCGCCCCGGCCCCAGGCCGCTCACTTCTGCTGATGAGAAGTGGCATGCACCAGGCAGGGCGAAGGCGGTGGGGCAGAGCGGAGCCGGCTACAGTGTGTGGGGCTGTGAGTCGGCGACCCCTGCTGCCACGCCATGCCAGGGCCTGCGGGAATTACCCGGTTGCGTGGGGGCCTGCGGCGGGGGGCATTGACATAAGCCCCGTGCCCCCTACATACGGCCCTGGCAGATATTGCCAGTAGGTCTAACACGTCCTCTTGAAACTTCAACTACTTAAGGTGATTTGAGCCGTGGGAGGAGCAAAGGAGGCGTCGGTAGCGGCTGTTGCGCCATTCTCTAGCTGAGTTGTGGAGGCTCGTTGCTGCTGATTTCCCTCCTTTTGAGGAACCACAGTTAATAATGTACAGAGTGTGGTGGGTGGTTTTTTTTCTAATGGTAAAACATTTACTTTTTGGCACCCTTTCCCTCTCCTTCCCCCCTCCCCCGAACGGCATGTTGTAAAGCGCTCTGCCTTGCAAGATAATGATAGTTTTAGCTCCCTACATTAAACACTGCAGAAACGTCCCCCTGTCTTTGCTCCTTCAAATAGCTTAATAGCAAGGCAAATTTCCAGATCCCCCGCGAATCTAAGATGGCTCAGCTCCATTCACTTGAGTGGAATAATCCTGTTTTACATCAGTTAAGAGTCGGAGACTCTTATCCTCATGACTACTGCTTCACAGGTGGCAGCGTTGGGGTTCATGGAGGCTGTTTGTTCTACTAAAAGTCAAGATCTGTGTCTCTCAGGGTTTTTTTGGGTGTTGATTTAAAATTTGGACTGAAACAACCCAGGCACACTTTCCTTGACCTTGCTAACTGTGAAATCAAATAGATTTGATATACCCTGCCTATTCTGGGCTTTACTCCAGCCCTGGAAAACAGGGCAACTTTGAGACCTCTAGATACTGTCTCTCCCAAAGAACCAAGGTAAATTTTTAACCCGGTGTGTGTGGCGTGACAGGGTGCTGCGATCACAGAAGATTCCTGAGGATTGTTCCCTCGTGTGCTGATCGTGCCATTTATACAACCTTCTTGCTTTCTGGGGCATCCCATCACCTGGGTTGGGGTTACCACCAATGTTCCCTCTAATCTTTTCTATCCAAGTGCAGATTTTTTCTCTCTGTGTGTGGAATAAATTTTGTTCAAGGCCTGTATGAATGTGCACCACCAGGAAAAAACACATCTAGCTGTGGGCGCTTGCCTAATCTTCTGGGCGGGGCTTTAATCTCTCCTGACAGGCTGCACAAGCACATAGCTTAGAGGGAATGCTGGTTACCACACCCTGCAGAGCAATGCAGACACTGAACAGTGCAGCTCTGGGAGGGTTCAGTTCTTAGGGCTCAGCATCCCAGAAACCAGTCCCCAGATAAATCTGTCTTACCCTGTGGAAAAGTTTTACACAGGGAAAGCTCATAGGTTAATTCCCCTTATCAATGAAAGAGAGAGATGCACAGTGATTGTTCCCCAACTCCCTAAGTAACAATTATTCACATTGGGCCTGATAGTAAACAAGTGTTTGTATTAAGTACAAAAAAGTCGGATTTCAGTGGTTACAAGTGAAAACAGATCAACGTAAGTTATTAAATTAAAAAGAATAGCAAATGCATAGCTTCTGTGAGTTCCCTAAGAAACTTCTTGCCCTAAACAGCTATTCTTATTTCAGGTACCAGCTTCAAATCCAAGAAACTCTTACTCTAACTTGGGTCTATAGCTTTTCTGAGTTATTCAAGTATCCTCTTAGGGCGTGTCTGGCACTTACAAAGGCCAGCCAAAGACAAAGGGTTGATAGCTTCCCACTTCTTAAATTGACTTTTCCCCCAGGGCTGGAATCCTTTTTTTTTTTTGGGGGGAGGGGGGGAGGGAGCGTCATCTCTCCTTCCCATGGAAAAACACCAAGTTCAAAATGGATTCCAGTACCAGGTGGTATGGTGACATGACAGTTGGTCCTAGGAAGACTGAAAGGACAAACAAGACTGTTGACAAGTGATTGAACTGATTGTCAATCCATTAGGTTTCTGAGGTCAGAGTAATGGTGCTCGTTAGCACATTTAAAACTATAAACTGATTCACATTTCACATCTCTAACTTCACCTACAAAAATGATACACGCACAAAAATCAGTTCTACAGAGCCCACAGGTTGTAACTTTAAAATGGATAGGTTACATGAGGTATTTTGTTGAAAGCATTTTCGAGTTGTGCATATTTACCTGCTTTGCTCTCCCCGCCACCCTGTCCTGCTGGGCCAGATCCCCTAGTCTCCCCCAGACAAGGCACAGAATTAGGGTTACCACCCCCAAAAGCAAGAAGGTGGACATCAGAAACAAGATCAGCCCACTGGGGAACCATCCTAAGGGGTTTTCTGTGATTGAACCCTGTAACGTAGGGATTTTAGCCTCAAGTTCTCAGTGAAATGGCCTTGTGCTGGTTAAATGCCCAGGTAGTGTTTATATGCTCGGCCCATGCATGATTAAATTTGTACTGTAATTAATTAATTCACATTGCAGTAGCAGGGGCTCCGTTTGTGAACCTGGATTCTGTGTGCTAGGGGGCGTCCAAACACAGCATAAAAGGACAGTCCCCGCCTCAATGAACCTACAGTGAGAAAACATCATTTTCACTGTCCCCTAACTTAAAAAAATGTCGGTGGGATTAACAGATTGATGTCATCACATACCCCATGTTCCTCTGTATCCTCTGCCCTCAGACTCCCGGCCTCCTCCCTCCCTCCCCAGTGCCGCGGGTCAGGATCTGCTCATCCTCACCCCTCAAAAGCAGCCCAAAAGCAACTTTTCTCCCACTTTGAATTTTATTTCATTATTTTAAAACATACGGGCTGAGGCCAGACCTAGAGAATTTCATCCTCTTAAAATGTATGGTGGTGGTGTTATGGGCTCGTGTGTGTATGTCACTACTGCCCTCTACAGGATAGAATCCGAACTGCCTGAGCAGTTATCTTAGGTCCTAGACTGGTGACAGCTAATGGAGTAATGCAGTAAGAACCCGTGTTTTGAAACTGGAGGACTTCTCTTCTGTTAAGTTCTGAATGGCAGTGGTTGCATTGGAGTGACCACTGTGACTTCCCAAGTGGCTTTGGATTTTTTGAATGTCACCAATGCTGGTTCCAGCCCCATTTTCTTCCATGACTGGATGTAAAGTGCATGCTAATATATTTAAACCAAACCCATTCCTTTGGCTGCAGTGTGTTACATGGGGTGCATGTCTAGGTAGAAGGTGTCCTAAGCATATAAGGATGAGCAGCATCAAATCCATGGTCACTGCAATGGGCTTTAATCTCCATTTTTGTGTGTGTGTGTGCTGTTTCAGGTCAACGTTATGGCTGTAAGTATCTGTACCCGGGAGGTCTATCGGTCCATGAAGGAGAGAAACGTTGACGATGGGCATATTATTAACATTAACAGGTGAGAGATTGGATTGTGGCCAGCACTGAAAATAGTCTAATTTCCTATGGGTTGGCTTTCTTGGCTGTTTTCTTTTATTGCTTCACTGGAAGATTTACTGGTGTTGCTCAGATCCTTAACTCAAATAAGTGTTTTTTCTTCATTTAAACCTTGTCTACACTGGAGATTTTTCCTGGTTACAACCACTGGTGTCTATCCATCCCTATAGCACCAGTACAAATCACAGCTTTTAGGGGGGGTTCTTGTTGACTCTAGGGTGTGGGTGCACCCCTGAATGGCTACCTATGGTTAACACTCCCAATGAGGCAGCGCCTTAATGTCTCATCATATTGAGGCCCAGGGGCTTAGTCTTTAGGGTCGTTCTGAACGTACTGTTTTGGGAAAAATCAGCGGAGCCAGTTAAAATCTTTAAAAAAACGTTCCTTGAGATTTCAAATTTTAGAATCTTTTGACCACTGTGTAAACTGGCAAAAACAGGAAGGGTTGTTATAAAAATATTGGAAAGGGGGGAGGAAAATTCCAAACTTTTGAACTAGTTCTAGACATCAGTTGTGTGAAAAATCTCACCATGCAGGATTCCCCTCATTTCATTTTATAGTTTAATACCCTCCTCCTCGATTCAAAGCCCATTAGCGCATTTCCTAGCTCACAGTGGGAAAAGGGAAATTCTGTATTTACCCATCCATATAGGATAGTGTCACCTCCCTGCTTTGGATTCACTATGGCAGCAATAATTTAATTTTTTTTAGTAGCTTATTAATTCCTCATGCTGTTTCCTGCTCCCTACCTCTCACCCGCTTTCTTTCTGTTCTCTTCTCAGCATGAATGGCCACAGTGTCGTACCACAGTCGGTTGTTCATTTTTACAGTGCCACCAAGTATGCTGTCACGGCATTGACAGAGGGGCTAAGACAAGAACTCAGAGAAGCCAAGACTCATATACGAGCTACAGTAAGTGGCTTTTCTCTCGGTTATTCGAATGAGCAATAGAATGGTCGTGTGGGAAGTCTGAGCTTTGAGGAATGTTTTGGAGGGGAAGAGGAGTACTTCTCCTAAACCAGAGGACTGAGGGGACCTGTGCCTGGCTCTCTTTGACTTGCTGTGTGTCTCATCTTCTGGGGACCAAATTTCAGATAGCTCAGGCCTGATTTTCAAGGGGTGCTGAGTACCAACTGCTGAAACGTACAGGCTCTTAGAACTACAGGAGCTGACAGTCTCCATGGGCCCCTGGACAAGGTAGGAGCGGCTTGGATCCATGCTTCTGGAAGGAGTGAAGCCGTGGCAGCCAGCCCTCCTCATTACCTGGAACATAGCTCAGAGCTGTATGCAGGGTGCTGCCACGGTGGAGCTTAGTCGGCAATTTAAAAAGCCAAAGGCTCCAGCCACAGTAGTGGCAATGGCGAGCAGGATCACTGGGCCCCAAGGCAGCTGCCCCTTTTATTTCATGGTACACAGAGAGGAAAAATTAGATAAAAACTTATCACAAGGTTGCCACCTAACACTGCTTTATTTCTTAGGCCTTGTCTTCACCCCGCGGAAGATTGATGCTGCCGTGATCGATCTTCTGGAGTTTGATTTAGCAAGTCTAGTTAAGACCTGCTAAATCGAATTCAGAGGGCACCTCTGCTGGTGTCCGGTATTCCTGCTCTTGTGAGGAGTTAGGGAAGCCGATGGGAGTGTTTGCTCCCATTGGCCTCCTGCTATGGGGATACCACCAAGCTCGGCTTATAGTAAATGGATGCCAGCTAGGTAGTCTGCGTAGCTGGAGCTGGGTGCCATAAGCTGAACTGCTGGGTCTAGTGTAGACCTGGCCTCAGAATTCAGAATGAAAACATGTTAAGAGCCCCAAATAATCAGAGAGAGAATGTAGACTGTTCCCTAAAACAGAGTGGCACAACTCACCCCACCTTGCTCTAGGTTGTCTGTTTGCTGACTGACTGCTGCCAAACTCTCATTACTGGCTCCTCTACCAACCCCCCAAATCTGCAAGCAAGACCAGGAAAAAAAATCCCTGGAAATTTAAAGTGACAGCTTACAGTTTCAAACACAGTTTTCAGTGTACCCCACACTGAAAATCAGTACCCAGTTTGTCTTGAGTTTTGTCCGCTTTTAAAAGTTTAAAGCGCACCTGCTGCAGTGCTTTAAAATGAAAGTGTGGCCATGGTGTGGGTAGTTTTTCACACACCTGAGCCGGAAAGTTACAGCACTGTAAAAAGCCAGGGAAGACTTAGCCCCAGTTGAACACCCAAAAGTTCAGGCAGCCTAAATTAAGTATGCTTGCAGGGTCTGAGGAGGCTTAATTTATGTTTGTAAAGTGCTTTGAGATCCTCATACAGACATGAGCATAGAAATGTGAGTGGACAGGGTACCTCACTGGGAATCATGAACCCTGGGTTCTGCTGCTGACTTTGTCACTGACTTACTGAATGACCTTAGGTGAGTCACTTAGCCCTCCTGAGCCTCAGTTTCTCTTCTGGGAAAGGGGTGGGGAACGAAACTGAGACAGGAGGCATAGATTATTGTTTTTGAACGGCACAAAATGTACAGTTCCTTACTGAGGAAGTAGTGGAAATACATTAAAAATTGATAATACCCATTAGACAGTAGCTTTGCTTGAACTGTGTAGCAAGCTTGGCGCTCAGAAGTAAGTTATTCTGCAATTACACCATATTGCAAGTTATTCTGTCACATGCTGTGCAGAACCTTCTCTTTGTGGTATAAGGGCTATCTATCAGAAGTCTCCACGGTACTACTGTACAGTGATCATTAAGTCAATATCTGTTCTCTTAAAATATTTGTATTTTTTTTTAAATGAAAGGAGAGTTACAAATCCCATCTGTTCTTTTCCAGTGTATATCTCCAGGACTGGTGGAAACTGGATTTGCTTTTAAACTTCACGATAATGATCCAGAAAGAGCTGCTGCAACCTACGAGAGCATTAGGGTAGGGAACTGAGAAATGAATAAAGAAGAAAATTACAACTGATTGCATAGCTAATGATCTCTCTCTAGCTAATCATCTTTTAGGGCCCTCCATTTGCTTGGTAGTGAGTGCTTCCTGAAAAACACTCAGCATCCTCAACTGTCATCAAAGTCAATGGGAAGTGAAGGGACTTAGGACCCAGTAGGAAACGTTCAGCATGTCAGCCGGATTAGACTCTTTGGATTGAATCACAGATTTTGCACCGAGCTCCACCTACGCATGCAGATTTTATCATGTTTCAGTCTTTTTTATTTTCTTATTTATGAGAACATCCAAGTATAAAGATCAGCCCATTTTTGACATTTTGCAGGTTTAAGTGATTTGTGTCTTAATGGAGAGAATATGAACCCCGGTACGGGTACTGCTACATTAACGAGTACGCTTTTGGAAAGCTGGACTTTGCAATTATGGAAATGCAGAAACTAACCAGTTTCTTGTAGAGATGGTGGACAGAAAGACAGACAGGCACGCGCACGCACACACACACACACACACAATATCTCATCTTCAGAGCTCATCTTAACTCTGATTAATTTAATGAATATAAATCCTCATGCTTCAGGACACAAGCCAGTCTGAAACTAATGGGGTAAGGAAGGAACTTTGCAAAGGAGCAGGTTATCCTTTAATCGACATACAGGGTTTCTTGTACCTTCCTCTGAACCACCTGGTACTCATTGTTGAAGGGGAGATACTGGACCGGCTGGGTCACCGGACTGATCCAGTCTGGAAATTTCAGTGGTCCTAATTATTGTCCCATTTGTCCAGAGTATTATCCCATTCCTCTTAAAATCCCTTGCTTTCTGCTGAGAGGTTGCTATTCCATGTCTTTCCTAACTGCATCATCTCACCCCGCCCAAGCACAGTGTAGTTCTCCATCCTAGGTAAAGAGCAGCAAGTTTAGCTCTCTGAGTATGAGCATGGGCAGTCATCGGAGGTAGGGCCGGGGGAGGCAAGCCCCCAGCTCCACCCCACCCTCACCTCTTCGGATGAGACCCTGCCCCCCACGACAGGTAGGGGAGGAGGGAGGGCTGGCACATGTGCCTCAGCCTCCCCGGCCTCGGAGCACTGGGAGGCCGGACAGTGCATGGCCCAGCTCAAGAGCACAGGGAGGGCGGGCATTGGGGGCAGCAATACTCCGCCCCCAGAATGCCTACGGTAGGGCATGGGTGGGGATAGACTGACAGTTTGGAAAGGCAATGCCTTCCCTTGCCTAGTGCACCTACCACCCAAGGGGATGAGGGATGGAATCTTCTACCCAGCTGATTGGGCTGCTCCCAAGGCCATGAGCTCTAATCCAGGCCATGGGTAAGCGTATCCTTCTCCCTGCCACCTTCTACAGGATTTTGGCCCAGTGGATGTGTGCTGTGCACGTTGTCACAGGCCGTGTCCCAAAACCTTTCCAAGGGGAGAAGCGAGGAGGGAGTCCTGCTGGGGTGATTTTCACACATGCAGTCTCTGCTGCTGCCCTTGGAGTGCTTTTGTATCCACCCTGGGATCTGTCCCTTCACCTTTAACACAAGGGCGACCCTGGGAGTTGTATTCTGATCATCCTTTTAAGGTTGTAAGCCAGCGTCTAGATAAAATCAAACCCCATTGATACAAGCTTAACGCCCACCCTGAGCCTGCCAGAGGGAATCCGCAGAGAACCGGTCTGCCTGAGCAGCTGGAAAACTCGATCTGCACAGCAGAGCCTGGCTAGGGACACCAGGTAACTCACGGCACCTTTCTCGTTTACCCACAGCCCAAGTGAACGATGTCCACAGGGCATGTTTCAATCCGCTACTGAGCGGCCTGCTGCTGCCTACGACAGGCAGGGAAGAGGGCATGGCTTTCTTTAGCCAACAACCCAGCTTGGAAAAATCTGTTGCTCCAGCAAAAAGCATCTTTGCTGGCGTTAAATGACATTTGTGTCACTGGCTGAAAAATCTGCTGGAAGTATTTCTAGCCCATATCTCATGGGGAGAGCAGCTGACGTCCAGAACGTTGAAGTCTGCGTTCTGGGAGTGGCAGTGTGGTCTAGTGGATAGGGCACAGTAGCAGCAATCAGGAGACCTAGGTTCTAGTCCGGGGGGAGCAAGAGATGGCCCGCAGGCTGCCAAGCCTTTGGATCTGCCCCACTGGGACCCTCAGGCAGGCTCCCTGGCTGCTCCATGTGCTGCTCGTGCCCCCCAGAAACTGGGCAATGGGGTTTTTCTGGGGGAGGGGGCAGCATGTGAAGTCTCTTCTCTCCCATGCAAGGGGCATGCAGCACAGAGAGGCACATACCCCAGTCCTGCCTGAGAGTTTGGCTGGGCTGCTGGCTGGGAGCCACCTATCACCCAATACCTCAGGTCACCTATCCAAACCCTCTGCAACCTCTCTCCCCCAGCTCACAACCCTCCCCCCCCAGACCCTGCACTGCCAACTACACCCCTTCCCCAGGTCAGAATCTTCTCCTGCACCCTGTACCCCTCAGGGACTGTGCACCTCAAGCCCCTACCCAGATCACAGCCCCCTCCTTCACCCAAACTCCCTCTCAGACCCCACGCCGCCTCCTCCACCCCAGTCCCCTACCCCGAACTCACTCTGTCCCACACCTCCTCCATAGAAGTGCAGCCCTTGACTACTTGCCACAATCTTGGAGTGGCCCCCCATTAAAAATATTGCCCGCCCCTGCTGTACGCTGCACCCCTTGGAGGTGGGGGGAAACAGGTGTATTTGCATGCTGTCCCCACCCCCACCACAATTCTCCCAGCTCCCATTAGTTGGAAACCAGCCAATTGGAGCCGCAGGGGCAGTGTTTGCAGGTGTGTACAGCGTGCACCTTTCCCCCCCAAGGGGCATGCCACGTGGAGACACACATGCTGGCCCTAGCACTGGGCTGCTTAGAGTGGCATGTGGGGCCGTGGCAGGCAGGGAGTCTTCCTGAAATGT